ATGTCCGTAAGGATTGAGGAGCCACATCACATTTTTAAAATCTGATCTCGCCATTATTTAGCAGCAGTTTAGCTTATTTTGCAGCACGAATTCTAGATTTAGCAGCAAAATATATCACTAGTTATTTTAATGCAAACATGGCTCCTCAATCTAAACGTTTGAATTGAGGAGCCACCTAGAACTCGTTAAGTAATAGATGAATATTTATGAAAATTTTGTATCATTTAGTAGTAATTTTGCACATTACCATATAAAAATTTGGCTTCTGTAGTGCTATAATTGAAGAAAATACAATACTTTTAATATGGCTCCTCAATCTAAACACAAGAGGTGAATTTCTATTTGGATGTGAGCGATCAATTAATATATTAGCATATTGATAATTTAGCAGGTGTTGTGTTTGTTTTTGCAGTATAGGAATAAAATAGTAAAACAGAGTATATTTTGTATATGAACGCATTTTCTTTGGCTCCTCAATCCTGACGTTCTAGTTATGTATATTTGACTGTAGCCACCTGAGATCTCAACGGAATCTAAAGCCAGAGAGACTAACATTTAGCAGAAACGTCTGCTAAATATATCTGCACAGTTCAGCAATGTACATATTTTGGATTCTGAGAAAACAATACTTAACTATTTTCTTGTACATTCAATGTGTAGGGTGACCACATTATACTCGTATTAATGAAACCAGTATAAGTTATTTATTAAATTTATATTTTCATAACAGATTATATATATCCTACCTACGATTTGGTCATTTAGCAATCAATTTCGCTATAGGTTATAGAATGAATGAATATTGGCTGATTAGTACTTATACGAATTTTAGAATCGTAATCATCGTAACAGAACATCTCATCTTTCCAGACTGTACGTTTTGTAACCACCAAACTCTGTGTAAATATACTTTATCAAACACAGTTTCATATGAACTGAATGGTTGTGAAAAGTTAAAATTGAGAGAAGTACCAAAAATGGCAACAGCGTATGATGGGGCGTTCAAGAACGAGACAGCACACCCCAGCAGAACACGTCGCACACGCCGCCCGGCCGCCAGTAGCCCCGTCAACCCCCGCCTGCCCGTACGTTCGTTAGTTTCAATGTCGGAGATACGCGCGCGCTACGTAAAAATGCCTCCCAGGCGATGAAATTCAAATCAGAACTCGAAGAGGAAGTGTTAGAGTTCTTTCGGTGTCATCCTCTTGCGAGCACAAGGGATACTGCCGGAGTTTACGATGATAGAGACAATAACTTGTGGCGTCTTTTAAATCAAACGCGAAATAAAGTAAAAGTGAAATGGACACATTAAATAATGTGATATGATATGTTTGGAAGCGTGCCTTCATTTGTGTGCAACGCGAAGGTGGACTTGTGCAACAGTTTTGTAGATAATTAGGTAGAGAGTGTGTAAATAACTGTAAAAGTGTGTAAAAAACTGTTTTAAGTGTGATGGGAAGTTTATAATCTTATTTACCTACATCAGCTTTTCGGAAGAATGCCGTACCTGGTAAGTAATTGCACTTTTAAAACCCTTGTTAGCCTGCCTATTGAGTATCTAGTAGATTAGATAGTGACGAACTAGTCAGCTGATTTCCGTTTTCATTCTTAGTACACGTCGAAAGAGATAGCAATTGTTTTCATTGACTAAGCGACGCATCGCGCGTAATTTGTGAACGACATTATGCAGAATGTAGTCAATGTTTACTTAATTACTTTATGTAATTAACTGGTCCGGGGTACGAAATTTCTTCACAATTGTAATCTGTAAACATAACACTACCTCCCATTAAAGCCGTGGCAGATAATTATAGAGCACCTTATATATAATCTGTTATGAAAATATAAATTTAATAAATAACTTATACTGGTTTCATTAATACGAGTATAATGTGGTCACCCTACACATTGAATGTACAAGAAAATAGTTAAGTATTGTTTTCTCAGAATCCAAAATATGTACATTGCTGAACTGTGCAGATATATTTAGCAGACGTTTCTGCTAAATGTTAGTCTCTCTGGCTTTAGATTCCGTTGAGATCTCAGGTGGCTACAGTCAAATATACATAACTAGAACGTCAGGATTGAGGAGCCAAAGAAAATGCGTTCATATACAAAATATACTCTGTTTTACTATTTTATTCCTATACTGCAAAAACAAACACAACACCTGCTAAATTATCAATATGCTAATATATTAATTGATCGCTCACATCCAAATAGAAATTCACCTCTTGTGTTTAGATTGAGGAGCCATATTAAAAGTATTGTATTTTCTTCAATTATAGCACTACAGAAGCCAAATTTTTATATGGTAATGTGCAAAATTACTACTAAATGATACAAAATTTTCATAAATATTCATCTATTACTTAACGAGTTCTAGGTGGCTCCTCAATTCAAACGTTTAGATTGAGGAGCCATGTTTGCATTAAAATAACTAGTGATATATTTTGCTGCTAAATCTAGAATTCGTGCTGCAAAATAAGCTAAACTGCTGCTAAATAATGGCGAGATCAGATTTTAAAAATGTGATGTGGCTCCTCAATCCTTACGGACATTACTTTCTATACTTAAGGGTATTTAATTTTTACCTATAGAAGTGAGCAACCAAGTCTTTGCCCCTGTTTGTTTTAAATTACCCTTTACTCACAAAATTTTTAGCACAAGTTATTTTGTAAATCTTTTTAAACTCTTACCTCAAGGTATACAGGAGAATTAGGTGCGAAGGTGTCATTGACGCGATGTAGGGTGACGTTGATATGCGGCAAGGCGTGCAGCAGCCGCGAGAGACGCGGCGGCGAGTACTCGTCCGTCACGCCCGGCACGCCCATCGCGACCTTTCACGATCACACCTGGAGACCAAATGGAAAATACGTTATATTCAAAATAAATCATAGAAAGAGAAGTACACGATAATGTTGTAAAAATAAATAAATTGCTTCGTTGTTCGAGTTCTCGCATCATTTGATTACTGAGCTCAAATCTTTGAATCAATCAGAAAATTGGTACCTACCATACTGGTCTATTTCTTGTCTTCTTGACCAATCACCTATTGAGTATATTTCAACATTTGACATACTCGATTAAGGAATCAGATCATTGCATTTTCGGTCGTATCCATTATTTTATAACATGAACTAACTAATGAACATTTAATACAAACAACAAACTACGCCGTTCAATGAACTAAAATTAAACAGACTATTCGCAAATGTGGACCATCTGCTGTGAAAGATCACACGCTGACAACAGGCAAACAATCTAAAAACTCAATATGATTCATTGAAATGATAACATTAACGGAAATATAGGCAACTGCAATTAGGGTACTGGGCTTTTAGCTTTGTCACGAGGTAACTGTGTCATTGGTTGGTAGAACCTACAAGATGTGGGAAGCACGAGGTTCCATGTTTGACTTTTTAATCAGGCCACATGTTTAGATTTTTATTTTAAACGCAAAAACACCATATGGTTTGAGTTCTCGGGAACAGGCTTACCTGCTAATTCAATGGCATTACATATCATACAAAATCAACAAATAAGTGTCGATTTGAGTAATAAGGGTACCCATTTGTATTCTCTAAATGGTAACGCATAAAGACACGCAACTACAAATTAGGCTACTAGGCTTTTTATATTCAGCAGTAGGTCAAACGTGCATTATCTTCTTCTGAAGCACATTGCGGCCACTTACTCCTTGATAAGCAAAAGTGATATAATTTTTGAAGTGCGATTATCTTGAAGACACAATTATACTTTTAAGTGAGGCTTACGGTCGGTCAAGTGAGGGAGGTACTTTAATTTGTAGTTTGATTTTAGACAATTTTACCAGAGAATGCATTTACCTACGTTTCTAAAGGGAATCAATGAATTGTGTGAATATTGACATTGAAGATAAATAAATTGAATGCCATATGCCGATCACCATAAAACTTAAGGAAGGAATGCCAGATTGTCATTAAAAGAAGCAAATGTAATACTTGCATATTTAATGAGATAACTGTGTAAAAAAACATCAAAGGGAAAAAACTTGAAGATTAAATATATCGCATGTGTTTAAAATGCCAGCAATGCTGTTTAAGTAGAGTACCTACTTACTTATCGCTGTTTTCTGTCGACTAAAGTAAAGGGTACTTAATCTTTTTGAAAGGGAATTCTTGTTAATCTTTAGCGCGTCGGAGACGTCACGTTGTTGAGACTTCAGGGCTTAAATTGCACTAAATGGAACAACATGCAACAACTAGTGTTGGAGCAGTTACCAACTAGGTACTTGAAAATGGAAAGGATTTTCTTCGTGGTTTGTAAATACAATTTTTGATGATAATTAGGACACAGTTTCTATTCCAAAGGTATGTTTGAACCCGAGGTATCAAACTCGGTATTCCGACAGTCTGATAGCACATTCCGTACAACTTAACATACGTGATAAAAACTATTACTATGAAGAAATAACTCAAGCGTTTTTGCAAACTCAGGTCAAAGAGCCACATTAACATTCAAAACGAAACTAGAAGGCAGACTATCTTATAAAGCAAACAATATCAGAGACATATTGTACCCACTCATATTACGAAACGGAATGCCTTCACGAGACAGAATTTTCCAGACAAACTTTTGATATGTGCACAAACTTTTCTGACACGAACTGTACGAGCGACATTACAAAGGATTATAATCCCTTTTGTTTTATGTTATGAGTTATTTTCGCATGGACGGGTAGAAGACTGAAATTGATGTCGTCTTGTCTTCCCTACGTCTCCCGCGTAGGACGGATATAAGTGTACATACTATACATAGCTAAGGTTCGTAGGTGCTTGTACTTACCGCAACTATCTATCAGGATCTTTGTCTACGACGCCATGGTGGCTCCGACCGATGGTACTTCACTTTCACCGTAAGGACATCTGCAACAAACGATGGGAGAGAATTAATTTATGGGGGATACTGCGAAAATATAGTAGAAAAGGGCTTAATTCTAGAGACAAAAAGGAAAATGTATTTCTGTATAACAATGAACTAACAAATGGATCATCACATTACAAGATTATGTTATGGTAGTGGACGTACATAAACATGAAACAGTGCAAAGACAGCTTGCTGTAGACTGTAGACAAAACATTACACTTTGTGCCATCAATCAGATCAGACATTGTTTACCGAAGAAAACGAGCCGACGCCATTAATTTCCTCAATGTAGACGGTAACAAGAAGCTTCCAGATAACCTCAAAGCTTCACCGTGACATTGGAAAACAATCAGAATGAAATACGTAACAGGCGTACGTACGTTACATCACAACATATTGGTGAGCGCGGTCCAAACAGACCGACCACACGCAGTGTGTGGCCGCTGGTTCCCATTAAATGCGCCAACTACGGCCCGTTGTTCCTACTATGTGGTGTTATCGCTACCATTAAAATTATCTCGCATTGCATTCGCTCACATTTCTCAGATAACTAGACACTGTAGAAACTAGGAATAAACGAATGATCTAGGATAGTGTCGCGGTACCAGGAGGACAGGATTTTTGTGATGGAGATAAATCAGTAACACTGTTGTTTAAACTCAGTCATGACAATTTTGTGGTCACGAATGTCCCCATTTTTGTAGTGGATGACAACGTTTTGAAATACGACTTTGTACACTCATAAAAGCTTAAGAATCATTGTTTCAGAGGCACAAAATATAAAACAAACTGCAATATATTACCCAGACATAGACGAACTCCAATCTTGGAGTATACAGAATTTTTTTTCTTTCCCGTCAATGAAACAGACGAGACGTCAGTGGAAGCATTAAAATCATAATAAAGGGGACATTACGAACCACGCTGAGCGGTGTCACGCAACAAATTACGGACAATTGAGAGAAGTGCGCGGCACCATTGAACTGTTTACTCAAGCTGCTTTTAATTATAATCTAATGTGCTATGGTTATTAAAAGGCAAATTAAAAGTACCCTTAACCGACGAGCATGCATGAAAAGATTGATGACTGTTAATGAAGCGAAAGAGGTATGTAAGAATCGTAGTAATTGGCGTTCCTTAGTCTCTGCCTACCCCCATGGGAGGTCGCGGAGAACCTAACGGGTAACCGGGGCTCCGGCTCGACGTGCAGGAGAAGGAACGGGGTGGTTTTTAGTCAGTAAGAGTCTGACACTCCCTCCCGCCTCACCCAGGCGGGAGCAGTAATTCGAGGATTTTCCCCCCTTAAAAAAAAAAAACCCCCCATGGGAGACAGGCGTGAAGTTATGTATGTATGTATGTATGTATGTATGTATGTGCTATAGGAAGATGGGAGATTGCTGCACGAAGCTTTCTTTACTTTACTTTCTATTACAAAAATCCCTGTAGCAAATAAAGGGCATCATAGTAGTACGTGAATTTGAAATCTCTTCTAATCAAGTTGCTTTAAGATCTGTGGGTGATTTCAGTGTGAATCAACAAATATGAGTTTATACCGCGCCCAGCATTATTATTTCGTATTTTACATTCCGATTCAGTGACGGCCAATGTGCAACTATGCACCATAGTGTTAGGGAACGGCCATTACCATACATGGCCGGTCTCTTACTACTGAGAAACACGGCTTCAGATCGATTTATTTTCCAGAATAAGCAATTTAGTAAAGGTACTAAACATTAACTACAGCTAGACAATAACGTTAGAGGAACAGTTCTAGAAACATATAAGGAAAACCCCTAAAATTGTTACTGATCATTAATTCTACTGTTGCAATATAACATGCTCCATTGGCCATGCTAATAGTTTCTAGGCAGTGGCGTGCAGTCCATATAGGCGAAAAGGCTTTGCCTAACTATAAATATCGTGAATATATAACATACATAAAATGTACAAACGCGTTTATTAAAATTCAATAATATAATAAAAGTTTGTAAAAAAACGGCTAACATAAATACGCGCCTTTGTAAAGTAATGAATGCGCCCCGCACGCACCACGCATGCGCCACTATTCCTTAAATCTTGGTTGGTAGTACTGACGTCACAAAAGAAATGTACCAAAAGTATGCACCGCGCATGCGTGAAGTTCACGACCATAGTCACGGTACAGAATAACCATTCATAATTATATTACACGATTCCTGTTGATTGACAAAATGTTTGCAACTAAAAAATTAGAGGACCGTTCGTTCATCACTTGGAAAACGATCGTATTTTATTAAGAATTCTAAAACAATAAAACAGCAACAAGTTATTGTATTTTTAAAAACAATTAAATTATAAAAGGTTTTAAATTGATAAAATCTGTATATCGTAAAGTACTGATGAATGGAGTACATCAGCGCCATCTATTGAATTTTTTGTTGAAACTTCTGAACTCGTTCGATATAATGCGAATGTATTTTTATAAATGCGTATTTAACAAATATGTTTCAAGTGTTTTAATTAAAGCTTAACATTTTTACGCGTTGTAGGTTTATAGAAATTTTAAACGAGGAGTTGACTTTATTATTATAAAAGTTAAAAGGAAGTTATTGAAACTTCAAGATGGCGCCATTTACAACGTTTCAAATTATATGAATGAATGTTTTTTAGTATGAAATATTGGTTTAAGACGATGATGCAATTTCATTTGACTTACTAAATTAACCTTTGTTTTTTTTAAATTAAACGCTGCATTACCTTAATTTTTAAGCTACATTTTTTTATAATAAACACTCAATTGACTATTGGTAATGACTTCAATTCGTTTCCAATGTTTTCGGCCATATTGTTTTCATGTGATGTGCGATCGCTTTGTTTATGTTTTCGTTTAAATTATTAGGAATTAGTTTTAAACATAAAGTTGCATAAATGTGTAGTAGTAGTTAAATATATGTGTAGGTTTTTCAAATAGTGTATTTGTTTATCAGTTTCTAGTACAAGTACCTATATTATTCGATTGTGAAGTGTGTGTGAATAATAGGTAATTTTATGTGTTTGTTGAAAGTAAAAACAGTAAGATTTCGCAAGAAAATGTCCTTTATCGGACTAGATTCAGGTAAAGACCATAGGCAGAGGTGTACTCGAGTTACGAGAATTGACCCAAGTAAAAGGTAGGTAATGTAAATATGTACTATAATGGATCTTTTATTTGACTTTCTTGTTTATTGTTTGATAATTCTTAAAAATATCAACTTAGACTTCGGGTTGTACTGATTCACATATTAATTTATTATTAATAATTATGTAATGTAGTAATAACATATGTACCGCATAGACTCGGCCGGCTCGGCCACAGCCGGCCGCGCTTGTTATTGTTTTGTTTGTTGACATAATGTAGGTACCTACGCTCTTAAATTCGTAATATATTATGATTTTGAACAGATTGATTAAACTAAACAATTCCATAATGAAATTTGGTTCATCAAATTTATGCCTTATTATTAAAATAAATAATAGATCCTTCATTATTTGTAAGTTTTGTTGGCTTATTCAATAGCTGATGAAGTACTTCACAAAAAATACGCGAGTTGTCAGTGTATGTAATTTGGCGAAAGAATACACCACAATATTCTTGAACGCACTTTTCGAAATGTATTATGTACATGTACCTATCTTGTGTGAGCATGATTGTATGACCGGCGGGGGGAGAGGGGTTTAATCATACGATATTTAGTTGCCTACCCTGTCTCGAAAACCTGTGCACGCCACTGTTTCTAGGTACTACCAATCGCTTTATAACGTGACCTAGACCGTATCGAAAGCTGAGCCTGTGACTCATACAAGTTTCTCGACTTCTGGACTTGAAGAGCTTCTTTTTTTTAAATAAACACAACTTGGTCCACATTCCCACGTAGGACCGGTGCAATCTCAACGACAACATGGTTAACATTCCTCATCTGTCCATTTGCACTGTGAGAACTTCGGAACCATTATCCAATTAACGATAGTCTTATTAAACGGAACTGGTTTATTTTTTGCGGATCGGTAATACGAATTATGTTGTGTCAATGTTTAACCTTGTTACTACATCTTTTAAATCCGGTTGACGGTTAATCCATTTTATACCCATATCCCCAAGCGGTCACCGGTAACCGTTCTCCACTAACTACATTATAGACCTTATTTCAGATGTTTAGAGACTATTTTTTGTATGAACAAATTTAGAGGATGATATTTCAGATATTTCAACAGGTTAATACAGTCTACACAGGTCACATTTCGAGAAGAACTTTTCACAAAATAGCAGTATCTTTTGGTAAGTCTTTACCGGCTGCACAAGAACTGTGTGGACGTAATATCGTGCCAATCCACTACAACGTTGTTCCTACTTGATTTGCTATTCATTGCTTTGAAGAACGTACTCTAAAGGAGACACTTAAGTTTTATCTGTTTCTAAATATAACTAACGCAGTGCTATGCGTAAAGTTAGGAGCACTAAAACTAGATCGATAGAAAGCGCGAGTCGCGTGCCTCGTAAAGTTTTATTGCCAACATAAGGACGAGAGTGCCCACGCCGACACATTGTTACAAAAGTTCATAAAACTCATTTAGTTATTCATTCCTTGTTATACTGGAATATGCACTAGTTTCCTTTATTCTACAGTCCAGGGATATTGAGGCTGCTCCTCTTTCTGTTCTATCTATTCTCCATTATAACGCGTATGGTGTTAGGGAGCAAAACATACAGGTGAATAACCTGATAAGTCATGGCTATCAGCAATTACAGGGTTGCACACAGATATAAATATATTAGTAACTCTACCGCCAAGTTCGTCAAACTGACAAGATTAACATTACAAAGAAACATCATATTTTGCTCTGTTTCACTTTGGGATGAGTTTGACAAAGGAACATTACAAGATAGGTATGAATAGTTGGCATTTGTCTTGATGAATACGACCTATGTCAACCAATTTTAAGCTATAGATTTGTTAACATTAGAATTGAAATGTTCTCATTT